TTGGCCATAAATGCATCTAATACTCATTTCACTTTAAGAACAATGAGAAGTCCTGTGGCACCTTATAGACATGCATCTGACAAAGTGGGTCTTTGCCCAGGAAAGCTTATGCTCCAATAAATCTGTTAGTCTATAAGGTGCCACAGGACTTCTCATTGTTCTTGCAGATTCAGACTAACACGGCTACCCTTCTGATTCATTTCACTTTGTAATACCTGTAGGCTGTGTCTAGACTGGCCAGCCGCTTTTCTGGAAAAGCTTGCCAGCTGTCTACACTGGCCGCTTGAATTTCCGCAAAAGCACTGACTTCCTACTGTAAGAAATCAGTACTTGCGGAAATACTATTCTTCTCCCGTTCAGGCAAAAGTGCCTTTTGCGCAAAGCTTTTGCGCAAAAGGACCATTGTAGACAGCTCAGATTTGTTTTCTGCAAAAAAGCCCCGATCGCGAAAATGGTGATCGGGGCTTTTTTGTGCAAAAGCGCATCTAGATTGGCACGGACGCTTTTCCACAAAAAGTGCTTTTGCGGAAAAGCGTCCGTGCCAATCTAGATGATCTGTTCCGAAAATGCTTTTAACAGAAAACATTTCCGGAAAATCATGCCAATCTAGATGCAGCCACAGTGTATCCTTTTTCCATTTCTGTTTCCCCACTTTTGTTTTACCCAAATTACAGGAGTTATTTTCTGTAATACTCTGAAGTGAAACAAGTTATGATATTCTTCTATAGCCCTAATGGATATTATCAATAAGTTAAATTACCATCAGCTTTGCCTCAGGATGTCTACATGCCTGAAGCATTCTATTGTCTCATGACAATACATGTTTGCTTTAGTCAGATTTCTTAAATTATTAAATATTTTCCATTTTATTCCCTTACATTTTAAAATATCAATTTCCAAGAATATGTAAACTTTGATCAGTTAAACAGGTAAACAAAGAACAATTATTACAAATAATTTACATATAGCTATTTTTGAGGCACACTGTCAATTTACATATGATATAACCCTGGCCCCAGTGAAGTCAATGGGAGTTTTGCCATTGACTGAAATGAGGTCAAAATTTCACCCATTGTCACCTAAATATTTTATTTTGAAATACATAGTTCACTTTTAGTTATCAAAGGTAGAGTAAGTAAAGTTGACAGACAATGTATTTTGCTAACAACATGATTTTGTTATGTATTAGAGGAAGGTCCAATATCCAAATAATGGAGGCACGTGAAGCTGTATGTGGAATGCTAAAAGGCTACTTAATATATTTCCTCAGTTGAGGAGGTCCATCTCTATCCAGGAAGGGGACATATTACAAAAGGAATTCACACTAATGTCTGTGATAAATGAAATCTCCTCTAATATCTATGCTCCCTTGATACATACTCAAATTCATTTAGCAGTGACCAAATGGGAACCAAACTTCCCTTTGTTGACGCTAGAAAATGACAGAAATGGATCAATGTCCAGTGATGAAAACAGAAATTTTGTCTTTTTAAAAATTATTTATAAAACCAAAAAGTGACGTCTCTATAGAACAAGAGAGGAAAACAGAACAGTGCTTCAAGATGCATTCCCTCACAGTAAAGTCTTTCAAAAAAACTGGTCAAAACATATACATAATAGTATAAAACTCAGGAATGAAAATCCTGTATAAATGGTATATTTAAAAGAAACAATAATTTAGTTCAATAGCCCTGATTCTTACGGTATTGGTAAGCTGTATGACTAACAAGCCTTGGCCAAAAAAAACCCTCCCAAAAACCCAACTGACTACATGCACTTTTCCTGCATGACTCCTCAAAATACAAAAAAATAACAAATAGTTTTGCAGCATCTTAAAGACTAACAAAACATTTACATGGTATCATAAGCTTTTGTGGGCACAACCCTGACCCATCTACCCCTCTGAAGTCCTCAAAATACAGATTATTTAGGAATCATATCCAAACTTTGAGAGAACACTTTTTCCTTAAAATTGTTCACAATAAATCATGTTCACTTATGAACATAAATAGTCCGTGCTTATTCAGAGATTACTCACTAATCAAGTTATGAATATATAGCACTTACTCTAGAAATGCTGATTACCATGCAGCTATCACTTACATAGTGAAGTAAAAGGGCCAATCAGTATGAAGAGCTTTTCAATCCCATCCTAGACCAATAATGCCATGTTATTTTGTAGAGTGTGTAATCCTTTGAATTTGGTCAATTATTCCACCACCAATCATACCAATGTCTAACTATAATATAGTTAAAATATCATTCATTAGATTTTCAGAGATTAATCTGTACTTCACATGTAAAAATGAAAGTGGTACTGTATAGCTATATAAACTTGAATTGGAAGATATTTCTAGTTTTCAACAGGCAGAGATAATTGGCATCTATATGACAGCAGAAACTTCTGATGGGTATAAAGGTGTAATTTTCTATTTAAATTCATATTTTATTTCTAACTAAATGTATCTAACTGCACATCTAGCATTAGGAGATGCTTTTGCATATTAAATTACATAAGGTCTTATTTTTCTACAAATATACATATAGGAAAAGATGCACTTTGAATGATATTTAGAAAAAAAGGAGTTTTTAGAGTATTTTACACCATGAAAGGGAAAAGCATGTGGAGTACTGGAAAAATTTGTCAAACGAATGTGTTGGACTGGACAGAATTTAAAGAAAAAAGTTATATTAGACAAAACATTTCTCTTTTGTATCAGTTAAATTCAGCTTTGACCTGATGATTATCTTTTGTTTAAAAAAGTCATCTTCTGTTTACACTGAAGTGCTGTAATAGATACCATTTAATGCAAGTGTGAAAAAAAAATCAGGAAATGATACATTAGCAAGCCAGGACTTGGTGATTGCATAGAAAAGTGTTGCTGCAGTTTTGCAACTTTTAATGAACTGCTACATAATCATTTTTCCAGTTTAGCATGAAAGTGCACGTGCAAAATTCCTGTTTCCAAAAGGACTAGATGCTTAAATAATTTTTTATTAAGATATTTTAATTTACATTACACTCCAATTATTACTTAGGGTTTTAAAGGGGGCTACGACTCTGGCTGCCTGTGCTACTACAGCAGCAGCAGCATCTGGAGCCCTGAGCCAATTAAATCGCTGGTGGAGCGCTGCCACTGGGGCATGGCTCTGGACGGTTGTGAGCCCCGCCCTGCCCCTTCTGCCCAAAGCCCTGTCCCTTCTGGGAGTGCAGAACATCACCAGGAGCCCAGTAAGGCTGTCAGATGCGCTGCAGCCAGTGTTTTGTCAAGTCTGGCCTTAAAACTGTTTGAGATGTTCTTGATAGTTCTTTCATACTGTATACGGTGAGAAATATAATCAGTTCAATATCACAGCAATTCCAAAAAATTCACATTTAATGGTTTCATCTATATCAAGGACAATTTTGAATGTATTATTTTTGAAGGACATTTTTTATAGCATGATTACAATAGGAGTCTCAATGTCCCAGAAGAAAGTTAACAAGAGTTTCTTATTAAGAGAAACTTTTCTGCATGCATCATTCGGCATGTGCAGATGAGATATGTTACATATATCTAATCTATCACATTCAACTGGCTTCTATTTTTGTCTGCAATCTCTCTTACTGTTTTAGCTGGAGAACATATTCAAGTGAATGATTTCCTACATCAAAAAATCCTCTTCGTGGTAAAACACAAAGAAGCTGCATGCCTGCCTTTTGATACAAGCATGAGGTATAAAGGCTTTTAAATATTTAATGATAAAATCACTGAATGGCAGCTCAGAAAACAGAACCTGCTTCAATACCTCAGTATATTGAGCACTGACCTGCTAAATCCAGAAACAGAGATGGCTCCCCTGTTTCCTGTCCAAGATAAATTCAGCCACTGGACGAGAGTGCAGCGAGACAGTAGGTATTCCAGAGATGAATCATTTATCTTCGGCCAGTAAGGTTGTAAACAGAGGTGAATGTATTGGAGAGGATCACAGCAATGCTGATGTAGTAGCTTACAAGTCTGTGCTAGTCTACACAGGTCTGGTATTGTAAGGTGACTCAAAATCAGCTGAATAAGCTGTATTAAAAACACACGAAAAAATCACAGAATTCAAAATTTGATGGGAAACTTAGAAAGCAGTAAGAAAATATACTTTAAATAAAAATATTAACTTTGCAATTCAAGCAGTGTCTCAAATAAATCACAGATTAATAATTGAATAACAAGCCACAACCTTATCACTTAGATAACATTAAGCAACAGAGGAAAAGCAGCTCTGGACATAAAAAAGCAGAACCTTTCTAACTATTAAAAAGCTTTCTTATCCAAGCTAAATTAAACAGTAGTATAAATGTAAACATTATGTAAATATACAAAGCTTCCTTCACAGTCTGCTCGGTGAGTTGATTAGACACTGAATTGACTTCGTCTCTCTTCTTCCCTCTGCACAGGTGCTGGGACCTTGGCTTGAAATAGTTTACATCATATATAGGGTTAACAATTGGGTTCAATGGCTTTCAGCATCCCGACTATACAGACTGTTCCAGCCTCCTTGCTCTGCTCCAAATGTCCCCAATTCTCTGATCTTCCTCTAATTTATCCCTCTGTTCCCTGCTATAAGATTCAACAATGCTTCAGCCTCAGCCCTACACTTCCAAGGCCTCATGGTTATGGCTGCAGTACGCAGATCACGTTTACAACTCTCACTTTCTGACTCTTTTTTTCCTAGACTAATCACTCCATTGCTTTGTACTTGGGATTCATCCCTTCTCTGTGACAGATTTAATTCTGATCACAAGTTCTTTAGCCAGTACCAAAGCAAACAGCCATGAATACTCCCCAACTTGCCTCCTCAGTTGTTAGGGTTGCCAGATGTCCAGTTTTGAACTGGACAGTCCAGTATTTGAGCTTTCTGTTCGGTAAACAAATTGAGAAAATATAAATGAGAAAACATAAATGTCCAGTGTAAATAAGATGTAGTGTAGATTGTGATGTAATGTCAAATGTGTCTGGTATTTTTTTGAAACCATCTGGCAACCCTATCAGTTGTACTACCCACCAGGACCGCCAACAGAACTACTGGGCCCTGGGCAAGTGTGGCAGCTGGGGATTAGCTTCCCCCAACCAGCTTTTCAGCACTACTCAGCCCACACTGTGCAGGGTTCCAGAAGTGATTTGAATGGTCTGGGCCTCCAGCCTTTGCTGAGATAGTAGAGGCAGTAGCTATTTAGTTCCAGGCCTTTTTAAATTGCATCTGCTCCTTTTGCTCCAACCCCAACCCCTGTGTTGGCAGCCCTACTACCCACCTTATTATACCTTTGTTCAATTATTCTCACTTACCCTACCCTATTCTACCTGTAAGTGTGTGCGTGTGTGAGTGTGTGTGTGTGTGTGTGTGAAGTCAGGTAAACACCCCCACATGTGCCTTATGCGTAGACCCCTCCACTCCCATTCCATTCCTGCACCTAGCAGGGCCGACAGCCACTGCAGACACAAGGGCAAGGTAGGAGGTGGCTTTGCACCCACAGAAGAGGCAAAGCTGAGGGCAGTCATTCCTTAGCCCCGCCCCTCAAAGATGTGCAGAGTGGTACTCTGTCACCTTTGTGGCAGTTCAAAGTAGCTCTGGGCTTCTTTGAACGGTTGGGTCTCAGGAGAATAGTCCCCTTTGCCTTCCCACCCCATTGGCAGGCCTGACTGCTCCCTACTTCTCACCCAGACCCCTTCTGCACCCATTTTTGTCATCATGGGTAGCTGGCTGGTGGTCCATGGAAAGGTTTGTGTTAAGCAGGTGGGCCTTGGCCTAAAAAGTTTGAGAATCACTGTTTTTAAGTGTTGTGTATATGAATAATAACTTCATGGGAATTGAGGTAGCATGACTTTAGATACGCTAATATTAAGTTCCTTGATTTCTGCACTGTAAAGAAATGCACTTCAAGCTACATTTGCTTAACAAAGTTCTTTGAAAAAGTAAGGAGTTCTGTGGCACCTTAGGGTACGTCTACACTACAGCATTATTTCGAAATATCTAATTTTGAAATAGTTATTTTGAAATAACGCGTCTACACACAAAATGCATTTTGCTATTTCGAAATAGCATATCCACGAATGGATTCTGAATCGCATTTAAGGCTGGCCGGAACCAGTTCCAGCAGGGCACCAGGTCAGGACTTACTGTGTGGGGCTGCTGCCTGAGGCTACTGTGCTTAAAGGGATCCCACCCCCAGACAGCCGGTTCTCACGTTTCCCTGCTTGCTTGCCTACCTCGATGAGGGACAGCAAAGCATTTTGTCTCTGCGTGCTCTGGTTGCCCTCACTCAGGACACCACAGCACTCTGCAACATGCAGCCAGAGCTACCGTCGGACACTCTGGTGCTTCTCTTGGATGCGTTGCTGTGAGCCTGGCTGCACTTTCTGCAGGCTGCCATCCAGGAGGTCCATCGGGGGGGCTGTCAGTATCCAGGAGGCCCTGTGGGAGAGCTTCCACCGTGAGGAACACTAAGAGCCTCCCTGGTCTGCCCCACTGGAGGCTTGTGCCTCATTCCTCCCTCACATCCTTCCACTTATCCCTCCCTAACCCCCCTTCCTGATGTTAAATAAAATACATGTATTTTCATGAACACAAACTCTCTTTATTTAACAAAACTGGGGGGGGGGGGGGATCAAACTCTAGTGAGACTGTGGAAAGGAGGCAGGAGAGGGGAGAAGAGAGGGTGGGGTGAGGGAGGGGAGGAGGAAACCTGGGAGAAGGGAGCTGGAAGGGGGAAGGAAGGGGAAGAAGCGGGAGGGGAAGCTCAGGGCTTAGGGTTGGGGGTCTTGCAATGAAACTCTGGTAACACTGGGGAAAGGAGTCGGGAGAGGGGAGGGGGAAACCTGTGAGGAGGGAGCTGGAAGGGGAAAGCAAGGGGAAGAAGGGGGAGGGGAGCTCAGGGTTCAGGGTGTTGCCGGACCAACTTGATTTTCATGCAAACCTGTTTCTGGGTTCACATGGGGCCTTTGGTGGCCAGGCTGCCATAGATGGCTGCGTTCCCCCGTCTAGTGCGGATATCATGGACATTGGGGGCACCCCCCCAAAACTGAATAAGGTCCATGATATCCGCCCTGGACCAGAAAGGCGCCCGCCTTCTCCGGACCCTGGCAGGCTCCTGGGAGCTGGCAGACTGCTCCTGGGCAGCGGTGGAGGGCTGGCTGCCAGTGGCTTTCTGCCTCATGTTTTGGGGCCACTGGGTCAGGGGCAGTGACTGCTGGCTCTGGGCTGGCAGGCTTGGAGCTGGCACAGGCACTGTGGCCAGAGCCTACCCCTTTAAGGGCTCCGGAGGGGCGAGGAGGAGGGAGTAGAGTGTTCCTGGTTGAGGCCAGAGTGGCCACCAGGGCACCCTGGGAAGGGATGGAGGCTCCCCATTTCAAAATAAGTGTCTACACAGCACTTATTTTGAAATAGCAATTTAGAAATTGGCATTATTCCTCGTGGAATGAGGTTTACCAATTTCAAAATAAGCTCTCCATTAATTCAATTTAATTTCGAAATAGCGGTTGGCTTGTGTAGACGCTAGAAAAGCTGTTATTTTGAAATAACTTTGATGTGTAGACATACACTTAGAAACTAACATTTATTAGGGCATAAGCTTATACCTCCAATATATACGTTTTCTCTAAAATTATTGAGGCACTTGTAAGCTTTCAGGTATTATATTTTTCAAAATCCACCCTAAGTATGCATTTTCTGAATACTCATTACTCCCAGGTTTTTTCCCCCCTCACTGCAGTACAACATCCACTGTTCACCTAAGATCTTTAGTGCATTATAGTGTTCTCCTTTTGAACAGACAAGCTGACCAACAAAGGAAATATGTGTCAGCAAAACTTACTTCTGGAATTATGCTGACATAATTTCTGATAAATGAACTGTAATCAAAACTAGAAATTGAGACTATTAAAATATGTCTAAATGGAAAAAATACTTTGATTTCTAAGCATTACAAACAGTGGCAAAGCCATGAAAAGTTTGCTAATCTCCCCTGCAGATGATTACAATCAGAGCAAAAGGCTATTGTCCACAATACAGTGTGCTCAACTGCTAGTGTAATACATTCCAGCCACTCCCCCTGGCCAATATAATCTCTGCATTGGTAACTTCAGGGAAGAAGGGAGACGAGTGGTCTATGGTCAGGACTACACTGGCAGAGAAAAGCTATGCAAGATACATAATTCCAGCTATGTGACTGGAGTCAATGTACCTTGCATTGATTTTCTGTGTCAGCCCAACAGCAGGAAGTCCACGGGAGAAATGCTCCCATTGACTTCCCTTATTCCTCGTGATAACAAAAGTACCCTGGTCCACGGGAGCACCCTCAGCGTTTGATTTAGCAGGTTTTTACTGGGGATGTGAATGATTAGTCCACTATCTGATAAGCAAATGCTTATCGGATAGTCAACACACTAGTCAACTGGTCACTTCCCCTGCCTCCTTGCTGCCTCTATCAGAAAGAAGCACTGGGCGTGGGGCAGCAGAAATGAGGAGACGGTGCTTCAAAGTGGAGTGCTGCATGGAACCCGGGCCCAGACCCTGGGCTCCACACAGTGCTGCCAGTTTGAAATGCCGTGTGGAGCCCAGTTGACCCCGGCCTCAAAGTGATGCTGCCACTTTGAAATGCTGCAGGGAGCACATGGCCAACGGGGAACTGGGGCTGATGCCCTTCAAAGGCAGAGGCGCCCTTATTGACTAATTGAATAGTTGATGTAAATTGCATCGACTATTTGATTAGCCGATTCATCTAAATTTAACATCCCTAGTCTACTAACCTCTCTAAATCGAATCCCAGAAGATGAATCACCAGAGCGTTGATCCTCTAGTAACTAGAGACAAGACCTATGATGGCCCTAAAGCTATTGCTAACCCTCCAATGCTGAACATATTCTCCCCATGAAACTTACAGGTGGCCCTTGCTTCCTCCATGCTGCAGAGGAGTGGCTCTGCAAAGGTACTCGAACAGCATAGCGAACCTGAGAATGGCCTTTGAGATTTTTCAGTATATTATGGCAAAAGCTGTAGATCACTGCTTTAGTATATTTTGTATTATGATGCCCTATGTCAGGGGTGGGGAACCCAAGGCCCAGCACTGGACACAGCCCTTGGCTTGTGTGGATCTGGGCTCCAAGGCCCAGGGTTCCCCCACCAGCATTGGGGAGCCCATGCTGGTGCTCCTGCTCCCTCCCCCTACACCACAGGGCTGGAGCACACAAAATCTACTAGACTGGGCCCTTAGACTCTGGTGTATGAGGGGAATGTAGGAAGTGTCTGCTTCTCAGTCAGGGGCTACATGTCAGTGAGGGTTTGGGGTTTGGTTTCTGGGTTGTGGTTTTTTTGCGCTTCTCAATCATGCATGGCTCCTATCTGGTGTCAGTGAGGGTTTGGTTTCTGGGTTGTTGTTTTTTTGTGCTTCTCAATCATGCATGGCTCCTATCTGACCCAAAAGGTTTGCCACCCCTCTCATATGTGGACAGGGACAATGGGAAAGATGAAGCATTTAACCTATTTTTAAAAGGATTTTTATATCAGTAGTTTGATTTTTAGTATTTTTCTTTCTCTTTTGTGTGACGTTTGGAATTTTTATTTTTCAAATTAAATAAATGCAAAGCCCAGCAGTGTGCGTGTCCCTGGCAAACAGATGACAAATTTTGAATTTCATAGGCAGAACTGAGGGACTGTAGTAGCCAAGTTGAAATATACATGCTCACAATATGGTTACTGAGAAATAACTGTACAGTGATTATGCAAATACTTATGCATTGATTGGCTGATAATTATCAAAACTATAGTCACTTCTTATATGACTATTGAGAAATAACTATATAATAATTATATAAATAAGATACCCACAACCAGGATGCAAGAACTGCATAACCAGTAAGGAAAAAACTATAGCTTTGGATCAGTAACTGAATAGTATTTCAGCCTTCTGGTTGAAACAATTCCATTGTAGTATAAGCAGCAAATTTTTCCTTACCTCATAAGGCAGTTTATCAAAATACCCATTAGTTGTCATTTCCCTGAGAGCTGCAACATTGAACTGTTTATTAAGACTGTCCATTTCACAGCCATTCTTTTCTTCATCCTCATCTTCGTCCAAATCATTCATATTTATCATTGAAGTCTTAAGTGAAAGTACAGGTCTCTCTTTCACACCATGTAGTACTACTGCATCTAATTCAGTATAATAGTCCTGAAGGGAACTATTTATTTCCAGTCGAATTAGATTTGTGGGAAAATCTATCTGTTTAATGTAAGGTGTGAATTGGCGAGCCTGGGGAGAATTCACCTTGGTAGGTGCTTCTGACCAAAGGATTTCCCACCTACAAAAGAAAAATTCCACATATAATATAATGATTAATACAAAAAATATGCTGATGTAAGCAGGGTCTGAATGAAAGCTTCCATTACAGCCAGCTGAAAAGGGAAAGAAACCCTGGGTGTGTCTATGTAAATACAGTTTGTGCCTGCTTTGCTTTTAGATATTCAGCTGATGGAGCAGTGTTTTGCTCACTGTAATCAACTTGGCTGGTATTGGGTCACAAATTGTGTTAACACTAATTTCAATATCTACAATTATTGTGGGACTACAAAAGAAGAAAGTCTGTGATTAACCTGGCAAAAAGGAGAGACACATACTGCCAGTGTGTATAAAGAAACTTAGATGGACATAGGCTCCACTTCCAGAGCCCTGCGAGATTAAACTAGCACTCTGAATCAGCATGCTATATGCCCTCTAGGTGTGAGCTGTAAGACTGGTTTAACCTGTTTCTCCCCATGTTTGTCCAGAGCCAAATCCACCACAAACCCTCAGAAGCAGCAAACACATGGTGACTGAGCGCCAACAGTTTGGTGGCAGAGAAATGAGATGAGCAGCCAAAAGAGTGGTGGCATGATGAGTGGTCAGCAGAGCAATGGCAGCATGACGAGCAGCGAGCAGAGCGGAGATGGAGAGGCATAAGGAGCAGCAAGCAGGGCAACGACAGAGAGGCGAGACAAATGGCCAGCAAGGCGGCACCAGAGAACAGCGGGCAGGTAGATGGTGAGTGACCAGCAAAATGAGTAAGATGCCTCTTTACCTCCCTCCACTCAGGATGGGAGGTGAACTCTGTGGATGCACCTCTGAACTCTGGGTCTGCTCTGACCAAGGGCAGAAATTTTGAGTGGTGTTCAGAGAAGGTTTGGACATGTGAAGGGAGCATTTACACTGCTGGACTTAAGAACCTGAAAGGAAAAGGACATTGCCCAGCCTACTAGGGGTGGGACTTTGCTCATTTTTTTTTGTTCTGAACTCTGTGGTGTTTTCCCAAATTAATGTCACAATATGTCCCTCTCCTTTTATTAAGAGTTTCTTTTCCACATTCAGACTCTGTGCTTGTGAGTGGGGAAGCATTGCCTCTCAGCAGTGCCCAGGGGTGTTGTGTGAATTTTGCCAGGTTACCGGGTGGGGGCTCGAATCAATTCTATAATGGATGGATGGAGAGGAATCCCTCGATATTGAGCCAAGCCCTGGTTGCTGCTGGCGTTACCTGGCAGAAGGGTTAAATTACTAATGTAAGTTTCTGAACTTACACACAATGTGCTACTCAGGCAAAAGTACAAGCATTTAGTAAGTTAGGTAAGTGGTTGAGAAGCCAGTTAAGATTGCTGTATTGCTGTATTTTCCCCAGACTTTAATTAATATCTGAAAAAGAAAAAAAATTAACAGGCTCAACAAATACAAGATTATACATTTCTGTACTTCCTTTGCAGTACTGACCAACAGAACAGGAGAAGTGCTCACAAACATACATGTGTGATCTTTTACTAACACAAAAATAATAAGCTTGTATAGTAAACATCATATATTAATATAAATATACTAAGTAGGGAACAGAGGATCACATGAAGAACCATACAAATACTTAGCCAAAACATCTAATTCCACTCCCTACAAATTTTTTAAAAACTATATACTAAAGACTATAGCATAAGGTTATTAAAATAGGAGCTGTAATAATTCAGTTAATAATTTTTAAAATCTCTGAGTTCTATTTTATTGATCTTCTGATCAGATAAGCAAGATTTATCTTTTAAGTCATCCATTAGAAAATGTTTTTTTGGTAAGGTCCTACCAAATTAATGGTCCATTTTAGTAAATTTCACAGTCACAGGATTTTAAAAATAGTAAATTTCATTATTTCAGATATTTAAAACAGAAATTTCATGTATGATTTCAAATATTTAAAAATGATATTTCATGTAACTGTAAGGGTCCTGATCCAAAAAGGGGCTGTGGGGGACTGCAAGGTTATTTTAAGGAGTCACAGAATTGCCCTCTTATTCTGCACTGAGGTCTTCACAGTTGGGCAGCCAGGCTATGTCTACACTAGCAGGTTATTTTGAAACAATAACTCCTGAAATAACTATTTCAAAAAAGCATGTCCACACTACAGAGAAATTAGTCTGAGGCAGGCTCCCTTAATGTGGATATGCTATCTCGACTGATAGCCCCAGGAAGCACTGGGGAGTAATTACTATGAATGCTTCTGAGGAGTAATTTTGAAATAACAGAACCTGAGTGTCCACACTAGCCCAATTTCAAAATAGGCGTTATTCCTCATAGAACGAGGGGTTATTATTTCAAAATAACAGCCTTGCTGTGTGGATGCTCACCTTGTCATTTTAAAATAACTCTGTAGTGCAGACATGCTCCCAGAGAGCAGTGGCTGGGTGTTGAAAGCCCAGCTCTGAAGGCAAGGCTGCCACCATCCGCAGCATAGAAGTAAGGAATCTAAAGGCATGGTATGGTATTGCCACCCTTACTTCTGTGCTCCTGTCTTCAGAGCTGGGCTCTTGGCCAGCAGCTGCCGTCTCTGGCCACCCAACTTCGAAGGTAGCCAATCCCCTTTTGGGTCAGGACCCCAATTTGAGAAACACTGTCTCCCTCATGAAATCTTTACAGAATAGGTAAGAGCACACAAAAGATCAGATTTTGTGGTCTGTGGCACGGTTTTTCACTGCCATGAATTTGATAGAGCCTTACTCAGTTGTGAAATATTATGAATATGAATTTAAAAACACAAACTTCAAGTCATCTTTGATTTGTAAATTTGATTTTTTTCTCTTTTGCAACAAGCATTTTTTTAAATTTTAATTTTCTTCACGCATCCTCTCTCATGTACCTTCTTCAATTATGGTAGTGTCATCAGCACCAAACCTGACATGGGGTAGTCCAGAGAGAGAAGAGAAACCCTATTCCTGACAAACCTGCAATGCTTCCCCGCATCGTAGACAGGCCTGGGAATGTAGAGAGGTTTGCTCTTTAAAAGTGTTCTCCATACGCCAGGTGACAGGAAGTTTTGCAGGTGCTAGTCACAGCTGCTACTTCACACAGCTTCTGCTCTTTCTGCTTCTTTGATAAATGTACAACAGTTACTGCTGCTCTTTCCAATGGCATTATACTCTGAGGATTCTCAGCACCCTTTATAAAAAACCAGTAAACTTTCACCAGTTGCAGCCCCCTTCCACCTCCGACTGTCCTAGTCCTAGCGTAAAAAAAAAATCTCACACAGCTGGCCATCATTTGTCACACTGCTCTCAGAGACAGGACAGTAACTCTGCATATGTGGCCGAAACAGAGTCCTGATTTACAGAGGTGCAACCTGTACTCAAACTCAGAGTGTGACTGGTGTTTGCTGACAGGCTGCTGAGGTAAGAATTGCTGGTCCAGGGCTGTTGCTATACACAGATACTCAGGGTATGTCTACATTTCATTCCGCCTTCGAGAGAGGAATGCAAATGCAGACAAATGAAATTGCAAATAAAGCACGGATTTGAATTTCCCATGCTTCATTTGCATAATGGAAGCTGGCCGCTTTTTCGAAATAGCGGTATTTTGAGGATAAAACGGGGTTATTTCAAAAACACCCTTCCTTTTTGAAATGAGGAGTAAGGGTTATTTTGAAGGAAGGGTTTCTTTTCTAAATAAACCTTTTTTTTCCTCGAAATACGCTATTTCGGAAAAGCGGCCAGCCACCATTATGCAATTAAAGCGTGGGAAATTCAAATCCGTGCTTCATTTGCAATTTCGTTTGTCTGCATTTGCATTCCTCTCTCGAAGGAGGAATGCAATGTAGACATACCCTCAGCATGTAATCTGTATGTTGTCTGGCTGTATGAGAGGAGCCCAGGTTGGAAGCCACAACAGCAACGCATTATGAGGAACCCCAGGTTGCATGTCAGGAGCGAGACAGATTCTAACTGGTCTGAACTGCACCCTGGAAAGTCTTAATTACACATAAAATATCTCCTCTCTCTTTCTTTGGAAAACACTTCAGCCAAGTAAAAGAAATGGCATTGTTTAATACTGGATAACTAATATTCAGAATTTAGTGAATAGTGGATCACCTAGCAGATATCACTATAGAAGACTCTGCTCTAAGACTGTCAGTGCTCTCAAGGACTGGAGTTTGATTCTTAACCAAAAAAAAGATGGGAAATGAGGTTGGTGCCCTTAGGAAACATTTAACGTTGGGATTTGTACCTTGAGACTCGACCTTTTTGCCCAAACACTCATACTCCCACAATAAAAACAAACTTTACATCTTCCAATAGAAAAAATTCTATTTGCTGACTTCTCTTATGGGTCCACGTGAACAATAATCACTTCATGCTTTTGGATGGAGGATTGCTCTTTCATTAGCAGATCTCCTCTGTGGCATAGAAATATCTGAAGATCCAATACCATGTTAATCAAGCCTGTGATCTATAACCTCCTCAACCAGGGCATAAGGTAGAGACAACAAGAAGTTAGGAACAGGGACAAGAATCACAGGTTGGATTTTAGTAAAATATAGTGAGAATATAACTTGTAAAACCATCATATACATAACACCAGCTGAAATGTGTAGCTTAGAGAGCACACCTTCTGGAGAAGCTATCCATCCCTCTATCAAGTGTCTAGTAGAGTAGAAGAGATGAAAGAATGCAGGATTCTGGATTTGCTGTAAGTTAAAGTTGTGATGAAAGAACTTCACATTTGCTTGAGTCCTAGCCTGAGGAATGGTTAGACATGATCATGTTCAAATCTGAAGAACTGTTTAGTGCCTTTTCAAGTGACTCCTTAAAAAGATTCTACTGATCAAATGGAACTTGAAACAAACTGTAACAGAAGCAGTGTCTGAAATTTGATTCAGTTGGCAGCTGTGTAGAAACAGAAGAACCTAGATGAGAATCTCTCTGTAGACAACTACAGGACTTAGCATTGCATGAAACATGAAGTTGGTTACAGAGTCACATAAGGGGCAACTACTCAGCCCATGACTGTTCCTATGGTCACAAA